AATCTCCCGTGTGACAAATCGTGAAGGATTGAAGATCTTATGTTGCGACGAAGAAAATAATGCCTTGGACTATACTTCAAATGTTGTATACAAAGAAGTATTCCAAAACTTATAATGCATTTGTATATGTATAACTTATTTATGTGTAATGCTCTTTTAGTATTTATGTGTAATGCACTCTTAGATGATATAACAACGCTATAAAAGGCGTTGTTGTTCGAAATAGACGGTATTCAAGTGTGATATATTTTAAATGTTATTGTCTACTATATCTATTTGTTTTAATTTTTAAATTCTTTACACACACAGAGTAATTTATTATTATATTATTCTGACCGTGCATCGCACGGGTAAAATCTAGTATAGGACAGAGGGAATACAAGACAGTGTGAATATTTACTTTACTTTCTACCGAGTATATAAGTTTGGGAAGTGTAAACTAATAAACACCTTCCTCCTGCCAATGTACGTACCAAATAATGTGTGTTCGTATGAGAGGATTAAAAACAAAACCAGTCTGTCTTCTTTGAGTGAAATGCCTAATAACACTATTGTTACTCCTGAACAAAAGCCCAAGCCATGCCGTTTCTTCATCTGCAGATCCTCCTCCGACACGAAGACGACGACATCGCCGCCGCCCGGAATCCGGCGTCTTAAAATTCTGGGCGGGAAGATGGTGGCTGCCGCCGCTCTGGGAATGGCGGTGGTGTCTTCGTTGCATGGGAAGAGGCGGCGGAGCCCTAAAGGTTCCCGGAAAGTTACATCGTCGTCGTCGGAAAGCACCGGAAAGAGTGGTCGTCGTCGTCCTCCGGCCGCGGAGGATTCTCAGAGATCTGAGGCCATTGATGATTGCATCAAGTTCATCAACTCTTCTTCTTCTTCTTCTTATCTCCATTGATCCAATTCTGCTTCAAGCCATTGTTGAATTTAGTTTATTTAATTCCTATGTTTCTATGTTCTTAGCTTTTTTCTCTCTTTTTGGCACAATATCATACTATACGTACCTTCATAGCTATCAATCTATCATAGATTCTTTTTTTTTTCAATTAAGTTGTCACACTCGTAGTAGTTATTTAACATTTTGTTCTGTTCGAAAGTAATCTTCCCAGTTACGGTCAGATTGCCTCTACTTTGCTTATAAATTTTCATCGATCATTAGATAAAATAAAATAATTTTGTGACAACTTATTTAAAAAACTTTTAATATAGTTTTATTAATAAGATATATAAAAATTTACCGTTACACCAATTATTCACTTATGATGATGATTTGAAAATAACTCTGGCTAAATATTATGAACCGCAACATGAAACTTCTTTAATTGAGACAGAGACAAAAAGATTAGGTTTAAAATTGGGTGATTGAGAGTGAGGATTCCTATTGAATTTAAAAAAGGAAAACAAGTACATATTGTAATCTCTAGAACAAATATTGAGAATTGAATTACCGAAGTAGAATTTTGCTCTCCCAATTCTATTTTCTTTTTTATGTCACTCTTGTTTGTTGAAATGTTAGCCAATGATAAATTACCAATTGGTTTGTCTTTTGGGATCTTTTTCCCAAACCTGTGGTTAGTACGGTGCCTCCATTGATTTCAGACAAGGGAGAAGGGCAAAGTTGGAAAATGGATTTTTTTGATAGCTTGGCCATGTGTTAGAATAAATTAAATGAGTCAAAAAGCACAAGACATTAACTTTGATCAATTTTGACCAACATGGACGCCATTAGTCAAAAAGCCAAGACATTATGATTTTTTACACTTCCAAATTTAGTATTTTTGGAGTTTCAAAAAACTTTTTTTTCTTTTTATATACATAATTACATATTCATCACATAATCTCTAATATTTCAGTCATCTTACTTTAATAATTATTTTATCAACGATGATTTTTAGGATTAATTAACATTTTTATATTTGCTTATTAATACTACGCGAAATCTTCTCCGAATCCAAAGAGACGAGTATTATTGATAATGAGGAAAAGACTTGTTTCGCGTAATTAGAATATTAAATGATGAAATAATGATTATTAGACGTGTTAAATGACATTTTTAATCTCTAATATCTCACTCATCAAATACAAATAAATCTCTGAAAATATTTGAACATAATCCAAATTCAAATATCATCCTATGATAGCGAATTCGAAAAGAATTCAAGAATATTTGATTTGTTTCATTTTGCTTAAAACCCTAGTTTCATAAATTTTCTCCTACTTCCAAGGAAAAGTCGAAAAGACTCTACATCCAATAATATTTTTTTCTTTCATCTACCAACCATAATAAAAATTATACTCCGTACTAGTTTTACTTTAGTAAAAATTATAACATACTCCATCGCTAATTTGATTATAAATTGAGGAAAACAGATAACAATCTCGAGTTTTTTCAATTCAAGTTATTTAAAGATTGAGACACAAGTAAAAAAATAAAATTTACATATTTTAAATAACCACACCAAATAAAAGTTTTGCAAAATAAGATGTGACAAGATTTTTTTTATTTTATAAAATGATCAATCAAAATAGACAAATAAAAAAAGTTAATGTAATTTTGGAACCTTTAGACATATATGTGATAGTAAATCCAACAGAAGCTCGTTCTTTATAATCAAGCACATATGTTTTCAACTGCAAAACAGTTAAAGATTGTAAGAAACCTTTGTAGCAGATTGAATATGATGGGCACTTGACCCAAGATTCTAGCTAACTCCACTTTAAAACCAACTCAATGGTGATGTTTGGCCTTGAGACTTAGGGTTTGTTTGGATTGCATGAGTTTTTTTTTTTTGACTTGAAATATGAAGCTCCCTCACAAGTTTAGTCTTCCCTAGCAGTGGCTCTAGCCAAGGCTCTCTACACCTTTAGAGAGATCTGTTACTGAAGAATATCATTTGATTTGAACATAAGCTGTGATCTAAATTGTTAAAAAAAAAACCGTTGGAAGTCCATATGCAGAAATCTCAGCATTTAGCAAAATCACTCGGAAACATATGAATATGGGTGCAGCAATGCAACATAACCAAGAACATGAAACTAGTAGATATCATCAAATGTAATAATCATTCCAATCAGTTCATATTATAAACCTTAGTTGCATTTGAACAACTAGCAATTGTATGAAATGTTGAAGAATACAAGCAAAACTCAAGTATACCTTGCAAATGCTGGCATATAGAGACCACCAAGAGGAGCAAGGTGAAAGGATGAATCTGCTCAATCCATCTGGCAACCTGCCCGAATCCAGTCACTGCCCTACCTACGACACTCACTCTCCACTACCCTAGACTCCACTGCTGCATCCACAAGCCCACCATTAGTAAACAAAATTTACAACTAAATTTTATGTAATGATTCTATTCTGATGTTCAGAAGGTCAGTCACATGACTAGATTTTATGAAAGAACAAAAAACTATTCAAGAGATGCACAATGTACTCTACCTTGCAATTGCAAGTTGCAAGCAAGAATTTGTGGTGATATAAATAGTCAATTCAGGTAGAAGGAAAGATTTATGCATTGGACAACAGACAATGAATGTTAAAGATGTTGGAAACCATATAAACTTGTGCAAGCTATAAAACTAGGCAAAAAAGGTTTATCTATTTTAATGATGATGATAAATTGATAATTGTTTTTGCAAACAAATGAAATAAAAATATAGTTTACAGTAGTAGCAGCTGCAGCAGATCAGGAAATTCTCACAACCATCTTGTTCTTCTTCCCTGCAGCCAAAAGCAAAACTTTTCCATCCAAAATATCATCCTCCTCAATCCTCTTAGAGTCATTATCAACCCGGACATTGTTCAAGTACAGTCCTCCTTGTTTGAGGATTCTCCGCGCAGCAGACTTACTCTCCAGCAAGCCACTAGAAACCGACAGATCCAAAAGCGAAATATTCAACACATGATCATAAGGCAATGAGCATGATGGAACATCCCCAGCAATACTCTCTATGGCTTTCCACTCCAACCTAGTATCTGCATTGCCGGGCCTCAAGGCTTCTGTAGCCTTAAGGGCCTCATCCAATCCCTCTTGCCCATGAACAAACCGTGTAACCTCCTCTGCCAGTCTACGTTGTGCAGTATTAGGAGCATAACCAGGCTTCACCATTTGATCTTTGAGGTCATCAATCTCATCGATGCTAAGAAATGTAAGAATCTTGAGAACCCTCACCACATCAGAATCAGGAACAGAGAAGAAATACTGATAGAACTTGTAAGGAGATAAAAGTGAAGGAGACAGCCATATTGCCCCTTCTTCAGATTTCCCAAACTTGGTCCCATCACTCTTGAGGAGAAGGGGAAATGTTAAGCCATAAGCCACAGGAGAAACCTCAACCTCAGAAGATTTTCGGATTGCCTTGCGAATAAGATCCGTTCCTGCTGTAATATTTCCCCATTGATCACTGCCACCAATTTGAACCGTGACGCCTTCATTTTCAAACAAATGCACATAGTCATAGCCCTGCAACAATTGGTAGGAGAACTCTGCATAGCTCATTCCTTGCTCTGCATTTTCTAATCTCCTTTTCACGCTTTCTTTGGACATCATAGTACCAACTCTTGCAAACCTACCAACAACGCGCAAGAAATCTAGATATTTCACATCTTTCCACCAGTCATAGTTGTCTAGAATATGAATGCTCGAATTAAGGTTGGATGAATCTGGAGACATTAGTACTTGTCGAATGTTGGCAGAAATTCCAGCAATGTTCTGTTCCAATTTTAAAATATCGAGCTCGGGTCGCTCTAAACTCTTGCCAGAAGGGTCACCTATGCGGCCGGTGGCTCCACCAATGAGAGCAACAACTTTATGGCCACAACGAAGGAACCATGCAAGAACAACAAGACCAAGAAGGTTTCCAAGATGGAGACTTTCTGCAGTCGGGTCAAAACCACAGTAGACTTTGAGGGGAGGGTGATCGGGATCAGAGCAAATGGAACGGAGGTTCTCATTGGTGATAGACTCTAGTAAACCCCTTTCCTCCAAGATCTCCACAATGTTGGACCGCCTCTGCATATTTGATTCCGATTCAAACCCACTCTTGATCTGGGGAGTCAATTGCGAGGAAGCGTTGCCACAGAGGCTTCGCAACCGGTGGGAGTGAAGAGAAGTGAGCAATGGGATTGCATCGGATGGCAGTTTTCGAATGAAAACAGGAAAAGATTGCCTTTGAGAGCCTTTGAGTATGAAGGTCCTCAACAGTGTGCTAGCAAAAGCCATGTGTGAGTGATGGTATCTGCAAAGGCAGGCACATGAATAAAACAAAACCATGTTAATGATTAACTTATTAGCTCGAAAAAAAACTCAAGTCCAATAATATTTTGACTAGCAATTTTTTTGCCAAGCTAAGCATTGGGAAATAGTACAAACCATTATTTTCTGTTTACTTTGTTTCTGCAATTTGTTTGAGCCAGGGTCTCTAGCATACAAACACCAAGTATGGTGTGTAAGGCCAAAGTCTGCAAACACACACCTCTCCCACGCCCTATTTTGTGGGGTTTTTAGGGTTTGTTAAAATTGTTTTCATGTTCTTGTCCATCTTGGAATGTTAACTTCCTATTGATCAATAAAAGGTGCCTAATGTAGTTTTGTAATTTTGTTAATTTATTGATAAGAATATGAAATAGAATTCAGCAATGTATACAAATGCCAAAACACGTGATTTTGTGAAAAATATCACTATGATAAATGGATAAAATCAGGGAGATAATCAGACACAATTAGGGTTAGAAAAGTTTAAACAACTAACTTACTGATCAAATTAGGGGTTCTCTGTGGAGGGATCAAGTCCGGGCCGATAATGAAGCACTCAAATGAGATAAATACTCATGTCATTCGAGCTGTTTGAATCATGGCGTTAATTTAAAATGTCTTTGCATCCTGAATTTAAATTCATATAATTAAAAAATTAAAATTTTAAGTTTAATGAGCACATTACTAATTAAATATATTAAGAAATTAAACTTCATAGAACCATATGGAGATCACATAATCACAAAGGACACATTCATACTTCACAAACCCACAAACCACAATCTCACAAATGACATATCATTAATCATAATAAATCTAAAATTAATTTTAAAATACGAAATTTGTAGGCTCCTAAACAAAATCGAAGGCAAAAACCTGACTTGAGAACTGAGATTTTAGGACGAGCCTCTAGCAGCGATGGCGAAGCACTGAGGGCGTCTAGAGGCTGGAGCAGCGAACTGCTAGAGCAAAGTTGGCGGCAAAGGCGGCGGCGTTAGGTAGTGGCGGAGGCGGCGGCGAAGGCTGATGCAGGCGGTCATCCGGCGTGCCAAATGCAGCCCAGCGAATAGCAAGGATGTACGGAGTAGTATTTAGGCTCAATGTTTTTTTTGGAAATGAGGAATAATTTTAAACTTTATTTGACCTTGTAATTTTTCCTTGATTAAAAAGTCGAAAAACATTGACATAAAAAATTACTCTCTTCCATCCAGATTATTAATTCTCATTTTGACTTTAATATTTTCTACGTTCCCAATTTGATTATAAATTTAAAGAAATCATTTTATTTATAAATTAATACATTAATATAAAATAAAAATTACATATTAAAAAATTATGTCAAAAACTTTATAAAACAAGAAGTGATAAAATTATTTTGTTTAATAAATTAATCAATAAAACACATAAATAAACAAAAATTATCGATTAAAAAGAAAAAAGAAATGTAGTCTATTTTGTGACGGATGAAGTAATAATTTTGGTCATAATTCTGAAATACCGATGCAAGATAAACTATTTAGTAATAAATAAAATAAGTGAAGATAATTGTGATATTTTAAATATTAAAAAAATTAATAAAAAGATCTATGCGAGATAAATAAAACAAATTATTGAACAAATTGATAGAGTGTATTTGTTTTCACTCATGTCACAGCAACATAAAACTTATTATGAATAAATGCTCTTTTAGTATAAAATTTCAAATGATAATTGTTCGACCTTGATTTTTATTAATAGTCATAATAGAACATAAAGCTAGACATTAAAGAATATAAAACTTGTTGGTAAATAAATTTTAACTTATAAGATATTCTTTTCGTCTATTAATTTCTTTCTCATATTTTTTTTCGGACCGTCTAATTTTTTCTCCATGTTTCATATTTTGGTAAAAAAAAACTTTTAATGAATATACCATTCTATATCACTTTTTCCTACACTACTCATTTTATTTTACATCAAGGACAACACACGAAAAGTCTTTACACTTCAATTTTTCTTAATTTTCGTATCAAGTCGAACTGAGAAAAAGGAATTTTTGGACAAAGGAAATACGGAGTAATTATTAATATATTTTTTGTAAAATGGCTTAAGTGAGGGATTAGCCATTTGGAAATCATAAATGTTACTGAGTACTAAGTTAGAGATGAATTGGAAAATGATTTGGTCAAAAAAACATTTAAAAATAAGCATAATGATGATGAATGTTAGTCCCAAATGAACCCTATCAACACAAATTACTTTCTCTGCCCCAATTCCATAATATGTGCAAACCATAGGAATTGAAGATCTATCTATTTGGTTGCTTTTGTATTTGTTGCTCTTATACATCCGATCTTAATTTATTTTCAGAATCTACAAAATTAGCAAATCCAAATAAGCAATAATGAATATAGAAACTCAAATTTAACAGTTTAAGATTTTCAATTTGAGTTTGATTCAGTACAGATTGATAATAATTCAATTCCTGCCAGAATATGTTTTCTGAAATCACAGGAATCTTTGAATTTGAACGATAAAGCAGAATACAGAGCAGAGATCATTTCGGTTTCTTTGAAAATAGGCCGCCGAAGCCACCGAATCCGTCGCCGTTGGGCTTGGATTTCAGTTTAGGAAGAGCGACCGAGTTACGGCGGCCACCAGCGGTTCCACCAGCGGTTCCACCGGCGGTGCCGCCTCTCTTCTTCTCCACTTTGTTCAGGATCGGATCGGTCTCCAGCAGCTGATCTTCCTTCTGCAGGTACCCGAGAATCCAGTCCAGCAGGCTTTTCTCTTGCCTGCTTCCGACGGACTTCTTCGTCGCCGCCGCCGTTGTGCGGGCTCTTCTCCGAGCAGTGGTCGCCGGAGGGAAGGACAAGTTTAGAGAGGCCATATCTGCGTTTCTTGGGGCGGGGTCTTCAAGTCCGGCTCTATAGAGACTGGTAAGCTTCTGAGTAAATGGGATTGTTATGGAGGTGTTTGCAACACGAGTTTTCAGCTTGTCCACATGTGCGTTATCCTCTCCATTTTCTCAAAGTCTCTTCATTTCAATTAGAAAAATTTCTTTTTAGCTTTTTTTTTTTAAGTTTCATTTCAACTGGACATCTTTTTTTTTTTTTTGAGACTATTTCAATTAGACATCTTGATAAATAAAGTGGACCAAAATCTAGTTCTAATACCTTGATTAAATCACATTAAAAAATTAAATGCAATTAATTACTTTATTTAACGCAAGAGTTTATATACATGTGATTATTTTTTCTAACTTTTTATTTTTTGACAAGCTCAACACCCACCCAAAGATCCCTAGCGTGAAAGTCACTATATTGAATACACGTATTCGTTAAAAATGATCGAAACTTAACTCTAGACTAGTCAACATGAATGCATGAAATCAATTTTTAATCCATATTAGTGCATCACTACTACTTTCCCTTGTTTCCTTCTTAGTCATCTACTACACATCACTTTTCCTTCAACTTTCCTCACCATTTTCTAATTATTCTCATTTTATTATTTTTCACGTGTCATCTCCTCATTTGTACAACAAATGAGAATATTATTCCTCTCTCTATTTTTGATACCTGAAAACCTGGTACGACACACACGCCAGAGAAAGGCGCTCCTCTGCGGCAGAGAGGAGACAGCTCAAGGAGGGAGAAATTAAAGAGAAAGCCGCTCGGTGCTCGTTGACCGTTATTAATTTCATTCTCCTTTTTGATCATTCTTCTCTCTTTTCCTCCTCCTCACCATCCTATTCCACTCTTCACTAGTTCACTCCTCATCATTAGTGATGTCCTTAATGTTGAGAATTAAACACACAACACACAAATGATCTACGAGAAACGAGAGAAACGGAACACGGACGACACACAAGAATTTAACGTGGTTCGATTTCCCTATTCCACGGCTGCAACAAGAGGATGTCTATTTCACTTGTCGTGTCTCACGGAATTACAAGTACAAGGGCTCAATATATAGGAGAAGGAAAAAACCTAGGGTTACATAAAATGGGCCGGGCCAACAAATCAAGCCCAAGCCTCCACAAATCCAACACTTAACCAATGAAGCAATAGTAGTGGGCCGGGGAGGAGGGAGGCACTCGTTCTTAGTTATGGCGTGGGATCCTCAATGGGATTCTCATTATATATGGATCAGAAATATAATATTTGCTCTATCTAGACAGCAGACAAGGCCCAATAATGGGGGGAAACATCATATATACCATATCATATCATCCTTAGAGATATGTATCATCTTATCGTCAGAACACCCTATGCATGTTCTTGTCTCCCTTCCATTTTCACATTTATCACACACTAACTACCCTAAACCCACTTTCAAAAAAAAAAAACTATCTAAGCCAAACAATCTCTCCCTTTTATCACTATCTTCTTTTTAAAAAAATGGTTTGATTTTTCTACTTACCTACTGTACATTCTAATTGTAAAATACGAAAAAATTACATTGAATTCTGTCATTATGGTACGATGACGTTATATAGAACTCAACATTCTAAATGTAATTATAATATTTATATTCCCGGAAAAACAATTTCACATCAAAAAAGGTGGTAACTAAGATAAGTGTGACTTAGGTGTTACTTTATCTCGAATATTCTAAAAATACAAACAAAATTTGTTCTACGTCTCTCTTAAATTCAGTGAGATAACGTTATATTGACAATAGCTGGATTTCTGTGTCTGGCTTCTTATAGCGTTTCGATCAAAAAAATTATTGTTTTTACCATCCTAATGTTCTGGTAAACTCCTCAGCCAAGCCCAGCCCTATGTGCCCCACAGTACACCTCCTGCAATCGTACCTGAACTTTGTTGAATTTAGAGCAAAAATTATAGAGCTGACAAATCAGTCGGTCAGTTCGGGTTCAGTTACTTCGAATGCGGGTTATTTCGGGTTTGGGTCTATTTGGGTTCGGATTTAGAACTGTATGTTCACGACCCAGTATCATCGGGTTATTTCGGGTTTAGGTTCAGTCACTTTGATTTTTCAAAATTTTTAAATTCACATTAACACTTACATCTTCTATTAAATAAATTTAAAACATTAAAAAATATGTATTAAATCTATTAGATTATTCGATTTCAAATCCTGAATTTTTTTTCAATATATAAATCGATATAAAGAATTTAAAAAGTGCTTAAGTTTTAGAAAAAAAAGTAAGATAATTATGCAATATCATGAAAAAGTATGGTATAATACGTAAGGTATGAAAAGGTAAGGGCAAAAGTGGTTTTTTAATAGAAAGTGGAAGTGTTTTAGAGAATTCAAAAAAATAAAAGGAGAAAGGTTTTATGGAACGAAGGGAGTACTATATATTTCTTCTATTTCATATCCTTTTTTAATTTTAGCTTTTGTGTTATCATTTTTAAGCTTTAGCAAAAAAACATGATACGAACGTGTATCGAATAGGGAAGACTCAGAGCGTCTTCGATTGTGATATGAATTAGTATCAATAATTCTGCACACTTGAATTGTGATATGAATTAGTATCAATTTTAAAATGGTTTTCAAATATCAAATTATTATAATTTTTGTTTATATAAATAGAGATACTATGTTAAAATGTTACATTGGAGACTGTGAAAAATAAAAAAAACATATTGGACGAAGTGAGTAAGTACAAAATTAGCTACCATATGGTTAATGTTCTCTCCGTTCCAAAAATCATGTTTCACTTCAAACAACGTACATAATCTCATCATTTTTAAAACAATTTTATTTATAAATGACATAATATAGAAATAAGAAGTATAAATTACATTGTTGAAAAATACATCAAATCTTCTTAAATATAGATGCTAAATACGGAGTATATTTTATTTTATTAAATAGTCAATGAAAGCGTCTGGAAAAACTAAAATTTTCAGAAGTCAAATTAACACTCTCCCTGTTAAGTTCTCATGTAGAACTTTGTTTATTTCTTAATGATGTATCAAATTTATAAATTAAATGATTTCAAAGATCGTAGGATTTTACATTGTAATTTCTATTTTGTAGTCAAAATATGGACGTAGAGAGTAACTGAGACTTGGGAAGATAATGAAGTTATTGATGGTGTATTTTTATAATTCTCTATATATAAAAATACACAACAACCTTAGTTTAAGAGATAAAATATTAAGTAAAAGATTTGAACATTAAATGAGTTGTACCTAAAACTCAAATATGTTTTTCTTAAAAATACCTCAACCAATGAACTATTAAGTTTGTCTGGTTTGAGTTAAATTTGTTTTGAACTTGATGTATATCAGGTCTAATCAGTTTTTGGGTCTTATCATTTTCGAATCTAATCGGTTTCGTATTTAACTGGTTTGGGTTTCAATCAGATCTAGATCAGAATTGGGAATGAGTACTTTCAATCCTTCCATTTTCGAGCTATTTCAAATTCAGTTCCGAGTTATTCGGCTCGAATGGTCAAGTACAAGTCATTTTGCCCCATCTAGTAAAGAGTCCTTAAAAACGGGGTGATAAATACCCTAGCATACTTGTGACGCAATGAGGTTGCCTTCCACCAAACAAACCTTAACTTTATTCTCCCCCCGTCCCTCTTCCTCTCCACCTTCAACCCCACACCTTCCCGTTAGCGTCACTCGTTAATGGCCGCTGCATAACCTATTACCATATATACCCACACTCCTTAAGATCGTATATACTAGTCCTCCTATGGTAAATAAATTATGAAACTCTCTACTCTCCGATCTCTTCTCGGCCTTTTGCTCCTCCACTTGGGATGTTTCGTTTTCTCCCCCGCCACCCAACGCCGCCGCGGTGAAGCTCGCCGTCGGCGGAGCGAAAGGCTATCTCCTTCGCGTCTCAAACGCGCCACCGCCCGAGCCGCTTCCCTCTCTCGGCTATTCGCTAAACGCCTCTTCCATTGCGCCGCCGCGCCTACGCCGCCCGAGCGCCTTCGCCCTTCCGCCCCATCTCCGTGTTCCTCTTCTAGATCGCTGACGAAATCCATCTTCATTACTTCAGCATCGCCCGAGAAGCTGTTCCAGGGTCGAGTTTCTGGGCCCGGATACTATACCCGACCCGAGTTGTACCCGTGCGGCATTTGCGGAGAGATTTTCCACGGCGGCGGCGCGCTCGAGCAGCACCGGTTTTCAAAGCACGCGATCTCGGAGCTTGTGGAAGGCGATTCGGGTCACAACGTTGTACGGATGATATTCAAGTCGGGTTGGCCCGTGACCGCGAAGAAACCGGTCGTAAATCGGGTCCTGAAGATCCACAGCAGCCCGAAGATTCTGGCCCGGTTCGAGGAGTACAGGGAGCGCGTGAAGTCGAGAGCCGCGCGGCGCGTCGCCCGTAGGGGCGGCGACGAGAGGTGCATCGCCGACGGAAACGAGCTGTTGAGGTTTTACTGCACCACGTTCCTGTGCGACTTGAGCGGCGGCGCGTGCGGGCACCAGTACTGCAGCGTGTGTGGGATAATCCGGACCGGGTTCTCCGTGAAGATGGACGGGATCCCGACGCAGCCGTCCGGGTGGAAGGCCCACCGGGCGGTGCCGGAGGAGATAGAGGAGGAGTTCAAGTTTATGAACGTGAAAAGGGCGGTGATTGTGTGTCGGGTCGTTGCGGGTCGGGTCGGGTGTGACCCGGGTTTGGCGGGGAAGGAGGATCCGAGTTTCGACTCCTATATTAGTGGGGTCGGCCCGAGATCGGACGGCGAAGATGAACTGTGGGTGTTCAATCCTACGGCTGTGCTGCCTTGCTTTGTCATAGTCTACACTGTATAGAACTTTCAAAATTGCGAACTTGTCTTTGGGGAACAATCTCTATTCTTGAATGAATGAATGAGATAATTTACATGAATTTTTTTCAACAGATTTAATTATTCATTTTTCATATTTCATTTTTTCACTCTTCCTTTTTTTAATTATTATATAAGTATTAAAATATAAAGATAAAAATTTATTTTAATTTTGATACCGAGAGAGAATGCGATTTTATACTAGGATTGACCAGACTTCCCAATGAGTTGATTATATTTAAAGGTTCATTGGAAGAATTTTAATACCATAGAAATTTTGATGTTTAGAATAAATAACATTGTTTTTTTAAATAACTTGCTATTAGTTGAAAACTTCATTATGTAAAACATTATAAATAATCACTAGAGGGGCAGAGACTCACTCTTGAAAACCAGACATAAAATTAGACGCCTTAGCTATGAAACGAGCTACATAATTTGCTGACCATCAAATTGCTGACCATGAGAGCTAAAAAAAACTTTGCTTCTTAAACATATAGAATCAGAAATAATACTTGTGAAATACTCCGTACGAATTATCTTCCAAGTTTTTATGCAATGTTTGAACAAAAAATAGCATTGTTAGAACAAAATGTTTGGGGTTTCTAGATATTCAATAATCAATACTATCTTTAATGGTTATGAAAATGTAAAACTTGTCCTAAAATATAAGTTCTGAGAAAGCATGGCCCATTTTAGCCAAACAAGACCAAATCACTTTATTAATATGGTGGTTGATGGTGCAAGGGCTAGGAGCTATTAGAAAAACTTTATGAAGCTTTCTTTCTCTAAAATGTAAAAATGGAAGGGAGGAAGTAGAAGGATCCTCTTTTGTAACACAAATACACAACTACTAGTATTAGACAATCAAAATATTTAAACTTAATTATACTAACCTCTGTATTTAAATCAATTTTTATTATTGTTTTCTATTCTTATTTCTAGTTGTGGTTCAATCTTCTATGTATACTTTCTGGGATACTCAATTATTATTTGCGTAATATAATAATTATTCAAATAATTATCATGGAACAACAACTACTTCTAGTTATACTAGAAAGAAAAGAGTTTGAAATCTTCATGGACCACCATGGTGCATCTTGTTTTCAGAATATTAGAGCTCAACGAGGCCCTAATTTCTCAATATTTTTTTGGAAAATGCTACGGGTACACCTAAGGTCTACCCCATTTGTCCCTCACCCCCTCCATTACCACTTAAATAGGTAAGAAATTTTTAAAAAAAATAAGTAAATAAAAATAAAAAATAAATGAGTGGTTATGGAGGGGGTGGTGTACAAATGGGGTACACCTTACCCCTAGCATCTCCCTATTTTTTTCGATAACATTTTTCTTCTAAATTCTTGTCAAATCAATATACTCATTAGATCGTGGGACAACATGCTAATTTGAGTTAATGGTACGAATAATTGGCTCCTAGTCTGGCAAATGATTAGCCTTTGCATGCTTTTGATCCAAAAGCTGAATAATTGGAGGATACAAATTGCATGATTCTTGGGCAATCCTGGACCAAAAAAAAAATTCATCTTTTAAAATTATGTTATTTATAAATTGGTATATCAATAATAAAATAAATATTACATATTACAAAGTTACATAAAAAAATTTACAAAATAAGAGAATGTGAAAAGAATATTTTATCTTATTAAACACTCAATGAAAACATACAAATAAACATAAGTTATCGAAAAGAAAAAAAAATAATTATAATCTATTTATGAACGAAGAAAATATATTTTACAAGGGGAAAAGTTGTGCCGTAGAATGTGATTCCCGATGGCTTCAAGTTTAAGGTTGTCTTAAAGACAACTTTCCATAGTATTATATTACATGTCCACTACAAGACTACAAATTAATTGATACGTAGTATTTCTATATGGTGATATTTATTGATTAATTGTTGATAAAAAAAATTTAATTTATAAATTACTTATAAGTCAAATGTTCTTTCTTGAAAGTGAAATAACTTAAATGATAAATAAGTCACTTGAAAATATTAATAAATGGTGAGACACAATTTTGTAGATAATCTAGTCAAAACAGAAAAAATAATTAGATAAGTGAGCTTTTATAAGCAGATAGACGTATGTCATCAGCTGACATATAAGTTAAAAATTACATATATATAGTTCTGAACGGCTTATAAATACAGATAAAAACCCACAAATACTCTTATTGTTCCGAAATAAAAGTCTTCATTTTTTTTAGAGTTCATCATTTTCTTTTTAGATTATCTTTTAAAAAAGCTAATGTAACTCTTATTTCCCCCCGGCCCACATTTGTATCAGTTTCAACTTTCAACTAAATAATTTCAAGTTTCAAGTTTATAATTGGGGAGCTAGGTTTTCAACCACGGCATGCATGGTGAGTTGAGTTTCTGAAACTCCTCTGAAGGCATTAGAGTCATCCTTGAAAAGGACCTATATATATATATATATATATATATATATATATATATATATATATATATATATATATCATGAATGTTTTGGTCCTCCTAGCACAGAGTATATCTATCCCTTAATTCTGAAAACAAACTACTTTTTCCCAAAAAACAGAAGATGCATATTTCAAATTCATAAATTAATTACATGTTTCAAGAAAAATATATTCAAAGAAAATCTAACACTTTCTATTCACAATGATCCAAATTTCACAAAGAAAATATATTTTATTTTTCGTTAATTATATATTCCTAGCATTTTTTGGACCAATGCGCAACGGATTTCTTTTGTGACTTAATTTTCCCTATTTTAAAAAAGTATTTTGTCACATACTTTTTTTTCATTTTCTTTTCTATTCTTTTTTCTTTTAGTTTTGGTTAAAATGAAAGAAGCATTATAAAAATAATTGTTTTTTTAGAAATAAAAAAATGAACTAGAAAATGGGAAATGAGCTTTAGTAAAAAAATAAAGAGAAAATGTTTCACTGTTTTTTTGTATCATTAAAATGAACCAATAAGCACCTCTTTTGAACAAAAAAAATGTTTAATTTGAAACAAATGAAGTGTACGTTAATTCTTTTTATTTAATTGATTTTCTATTTTATAAACCCAAAAATTTTGATTATTAAAACATTATAAAAAATATTTTTAAAAACGAACTTAAAAAACATTTATGAAACAAAAGAGAAGAAAAAACAAAAAAGAAAAAAAAGGAAGGAGTTGGTGCCCATTTCCAAACCCATAGGGCCAGTGGAGCTATTCACCTATGAGTTAAAAGTATTTTAATCTAGAGGGGTATTAACATAAGAATACCAAAACCATGAGGGGTAAAGATGTTAGTTTTGAAACCATATCATGAGAGTAACGATATATTTACCAAACCACATGGGCAGTATTGATGCAATAAGTAAAAGAACTACAAGAACTATCTTACCTCTATTCTCTGAACCTTATTCTCTTTTCAAAACTTCATTAAGCGAAGACATGCACTGTACTTTATTCTCTTCTCAAACCTTCATTTCAATTCTGCTTCGAACTGTGCCATTGATAGTAGTTTCCTACACAATCTCAAAAAAGATCATCAATCAATGAATGACTACAACGTTGTATGTAGTAAAGGATATATTGGTTTTATTATTTTAGTATATAATTTGCAAAAATGATCAAGTACAGAAGCATGTAAAACTACGATTGGACTAATGAATTAAGTAGAAAGTTGGAATTGAATTGTATTCATCTCATGTTTATCAAGTTCTAAATGGTAGCTAGTCGACTCCAAAGAAGAACAAAAATAACTAGAGCGGGGATGAACAACACTAATATACTCAAAAGTCACTGTACTGTTAAAAGTGATTTACGCTTTACTTTATACATATATTTCACTAATATTTGTTTTTATGTTGTAGTGTCTTCAGTATTCTTACAGGGATTTTATAAACTATTTCAAGTAAAACCAATCAACGAATCAGTCTTGCACTTTCTTAGATCATACCTTGAGATTTGTTTTGGATAGCAATATTGTTGTTTAGCATTCACAATACTTTGAAGTCTTTCTCATCTGAGTATATTGCAAAGATTAAATGTTCTGATAACTTAAAGGATTTAATGTGCGGAGTGGAATCGATCAAGAATGATTTTTAGACTATATTTAGGTACTTTCTTTTGCTATTTATGTTTCATACTATATTCCTTTAGTTTTCTGATAGGTTTTCCAATTTTCTTTCTTGTGTTTTCAATATTCCACATTATATTATTCTAATTTTTTTGTAGAATTGTAATACAAGGGTTAGCTGTATTTTATAGTAAAGATTTTATTTTTGGGCACTTTGGAACAAGTGTAGTTTTGGTTTCTTCAGGTCTTTGGGAGGAAGTTAAGTTGATTCCTCGTATTTCCAAGAGATATAAAGAATCAGCTTCATCAATCCTTATTACGAAGCTAAAGAAGTTGATGTTCTTTGTTATCTTATATCCTTTACAATCGAGTTCGTTCGATAAGGACTTGCTACCAGAGTCATTGGATATTGAGTTTGTGTAATTTTTTTACTCTCTGATTCAGATGAAAAAGACTATAAATAATTGTGAATGCTAACAACAATGTGGCTATGTAAAACAAGTATCAAGGTATGAGTTATGAAAATGCAAAATTGATTCGTTGAGAAGTTTGACGTGAAGTAGAATTTTCTAGATTTGCAACTGTATTATAAGTTTTTAGCCCTTTCAACTGATCTTTTCTCCATTAAGAACTTGATAGAACAAACAAAATCTGATCCACTCGAATAAAAGAAATTTTACGTCCAGAAGTGGCAATTAAAAACTTGATAATAGAGATGATACCTGACTTGAATCCTCTGTACTATGAGAAATGACTGAAGATCCTGAAGTAGAAGATGGTGGAACAACTTCACCAGGAACCTGCAAGAACAGAAGTGTTAAAAATTCAAAACATATCACTTGCAAAAGGACAAAGATCAATCATACATGAATCTAATACGGAGTATAAAATTGTTACCTAGATATCATTAAAAACTGAATAAAAAATTATTAAACTTTTATCTAGATAAAAGAGAAAATTGAGAATGACAATAAAAATAAGCTTAAAAATAGCACAACAATGCCTTTTAAGCAAACAATTTTACCTTCTGCTTCCTTTCCGTTTTCTTTTCAAAGAAAGACACACTAGGAAAAGGAAGATTCAAATGTGTTTTCAATTCCAAGCATTTCTGAAAATGTTTCTCAGCCAAATCCTTTTTTTGGTTTCGATTGCTCAGTAAACTGCAAAAAAAACATGCATTTATAAGTAAACAGAATATGGCATGATATATCTGATTGAAAACCAAAAGAAACATTAACTTACCAATAAAAAAATTGTAAACATAGATCAAGATATTCCGGTTTTTGTCCACGCTGTTTGATAGCTTTCAAAACTAACTTAGCTGCTTCCTTCCAATTTTCTTTCTTGAAAAAAGTCAGAGCTTCATTGACATTTTTATCAACATTCCCATCTAGAATGTCACGGAACAGCTCAACAAAAACTTGGTGCATTTCAGCCGTTTGGTCGATATGTTCTGCTAGACCATCCCTATTATATAGATAGAGCGAGTATATCCGAATTCTCAATATAATAAACCTTTTACAAAGTCTAAGAACATTGAAATGAATAATAAGAATACATAGTTACCAATAATTCTTCCACCCATTAGAAGCAAACGCAATGAAACTTTCAAAAAATGTACTCTGAAAGATCTCACTACAAAGACTATCACATGACAAGAATTCCTTGTAAGCTAGGGCATAACGGTTTCTTCTATAATGCAACAACCTGTAAAAATATAATATGAAAAAAAAACAAAGATCAACAATTGAATTGGGAGAGAAACAGAAACACTAAATTAATACTCCCTCCGTTTGGAAAAACACTTCCCATTTGAATTTGGGACAAAAATAAGGAAGTGTTAAATTATAGTTGATTTCCAATTTTGCCCCTGATGTGATGGGTAAAAGTAAGATGTGATGGATAGATTATTAGAGAAAAAGTATGATGTGATAGGTAGGGTATGAAAAAGTAAGGGTAAAAGTGGTTTTTTAATAGAAAAGGGAAATGTTTTGTTGGAAGTGGAAAAAATGAAAGAGGAAGTGTTTTTGAGAACGGAGGGAGTACATATTAAAAACAATATACAAGCGATATACTTGATTCAAACCAATGAAGCAATACAAACTTACCCCTTAAAAAATGTTAAGCAAAGATCAATGTATTCTTTTTTTGGTTCACGACGTCCAGCACACACTAAATTAACACAAACAACAGCTTCCTTCCACTTTTCATCCTTGAAGCTAGTAAGAGCCCTAGAAACCAATGGACCACCTCCATCCAAAACTTTAGAAAACAGAGTATCCAACACTGCATGCATTTCAGTTGTTTGATCCATAAATTTCTCTACATCATTCCTAGAACAACAACAACAAAAGATACAGAACTACCGAGTTTATTAAAGTCAACTTAGTAATTTAAAATAAGAGAATAGAATATTTTCCAAATCTATTAGAATAAAAAGGACAAATTAAAGACTAAAATATTTACCAGTATTTCTTGCCCTCATGAGAAGCTACATTCGAAAAACTCACAACACAATTACGATTGTAGAGTTTGCGACAAAGTTTATCCGACAAAGAAAACTGTTTGCAAGCATCACCAAAATTACTTCTTCTAAAATATAATAATCTGCAAAAACACCAAAGTAATTAGAAACAAAAAAACTCTAAAAAGTATACAACACACACATAGAAAGAGGACAAATTACCCCATTATAAATCTTAACAAAAATTGAGCATCCTCCGCAACAACGCCATAATCCGAAAGTGCATACATAGCACTATCAAAGGTTTTGCCCCATTCCTTTTCATTAAATTCTTCAAGAAGAGTGGCATATCCACTTGGCACAGGACTGAAATATGATGCAGGAGGAAACACACCATTCAACTGTGAACATAACCCATCGATATCGTAAATGTTAGCCTTGGCCTCTGATATAACTTGTAAGAAGGCCTCCATTTGCCTACAAATACATATTTGGGGAAATTGTTAGATTATTTGTCATATACAAAATGAGAATAGGGTTAAGACCGAAACCATTCAACTTCTGAAATCAGTTATGTGAAAAAAGAGAATCAGAAAAGAGAATGCAACCAAAACCTAAAGAGTAGCCACACTGGGATTCGGCGGCAAGAGTAGCCAACGGTGGCGCCGGTGAAGAGAGAAGACGGGGAAATAACGGCAGTTCAACACTCGGATATGCTGATAGCTGACCGTACTGAAGGCAGGCGGCGGTCGGAGGAGCTGGCTTGAGGCGGTTGAGGCAGAAGTCTGAAATAGGTTTAAAATTTGGAAAATACTAGCATCTCAAATAGGCAAGAAAATTAAAAAAAATAAGTAAATAAAAATCAAATATAAATAAGTGATTATGAAAGGGGTGGAGGACAAATGGGGTACCCCTAGCATCTCTCTTAAAATTTTTAACTCTTTTTAGTTTCTATCACTTCTTCTAGCGGGTTCATTTCAGTTTCTTCCCATTATTCTCATTTTTCTCAAATTCTTTCTACTCTCAGATCAATTACTCTAAAAACAATATATTTTTAATTTGACTATTATTGTTATTATTATTATTATTACAACTCTTATGTTCATAACTATAGTTTATAAATTAATTTTTCATCTTACTATATTTACGATCCATACTTACTATTTTTTTTCTTCAACATTTTAATATGAATAAGAAATTTTTTTTAATATTAATCTACAAGATAAAACAGAAAAATATTAATATTTTAAAATATATTAAAAATTTATGGATAAAATAAATACATAGAATACTATATTAATCTAACTTTATATAAGAACTCTCATCTTTCCCTTTATTACTCAAAATTTTCTCATTTTTTTTATTAAAATAAAAAAAATGAAATTCAAAATAGTTTAGAGAAAAAGACTAGAATAGGAGTAATATAAAAGATGAAAAAATAAAATCATATGTCTTTATTCCAAAAATAGGACTTACAATGAAAATAAAATGTTAATTATAAAAAAAGGTTTTTTATTATATTATATGACCTGTGTGATATTTAAAACAAAATTTTGTAATATATAAAGTATAATTATAAATATACTCATGAATGCAAGCCTGATGACTGTTATTATTGGAAGAAAATGATCTTGATCAGAAAAGAGTTTGTTGGAATGAGCATAGACGAGGGGTATACTGTTAAGGAAGGTTACTTATGGCTTACTGGATCCCATACTAATGTGCCATGGGCTGATCTGGTTTGGAACAGATTTTCCATACCGAAACATCAATTTATAGCATGGCTAATTTGGAAGGGCAGAATTCTCACTAAGGACAAGTTGAGTAGGTTCTTGCCAATTGATACAAACTGTATCCTGTGCAATAAGATGGATGAGCCTGCTGATCATCTCTTATGTGGCTGTCCATTTGTAAAATTTATTTTCCATAAAATGTCTATGACAATCCAGTATGACATGGAAGCTACTTCCATTGTTGAGCTAGGACAGAGCATGAACAAGGGTAGAAACAGAAGAGATAGGTGGGTCATAGCTGCTTGTGTTGTTACTTGTTGCTACTTCATTTGGAAAGCAAGAAATTCTAAGCTTCATAACAAGGAGATGACTATGGTGGATACGTTGAAGACTATCAAGGACCATCTCAATATTATTATGGGTAACTAGTCACTGTTTTAGTGTTGGACACTATCGTTAGGTGCTGATTTTTGTTGTTATATGTTTCTCTTTTGATGTACTGGAATTAGATTTTGGAGTTAATATATTTTGTGCTTTGTTCAAAAAAAAATTATAAATATACTCCGTATTAAATAAAAAAATACCGCAATCAATTAGTTTCGTTTCTACATCTCCGTAATTTCTTTGCCTTGGATGATTTAGTATCAAATAATTAAACAAATACATCTTTTTTGCAAATTATATACTAAAGACACAATAAAAATATCATTATACAATTCATATTTCGAATAAAAACATAAACATAATTCATATTTAAAAAAAAACTTAGAAACCTAATCATCAAATACAATTGGTAGAGTAAAATTTCACAAATGCTTTACCAAATCAGCTCCTAGGCGGAGGTGTGAAATTCCACAAATCCTTTACCAAATCGGTATTCTTGGCTTTGTATTCCTATTTTAGGATAAGAAACATGAAAATTCTAGTTTTAGGGGCTATTTGGCAACTTCTGAATAGATAAGTGCTGAACCAGTAAGAAGTCTGAACCATTAAGAGGTAGTATATTGCTTAACTATTCAGAGGCAAATGTCTGATCAATTCAGATAAGAGGTCTTAACCATTCAGACTCTGTATAATACTTAACCATTCAGAGGCAAATGTATGAACCATTCAGACATCTGAACCATTAAGAGGCTGAAACAAACAGTCTGAACCATTAAGTGCTGAACCATTAAGAGGCTGAAACAAACAACCTCTTAGTGATTTGTCCATATTTTACTCTTACTTTAATATATTTTCGAATGATTATTTTCAAAACTGCAATGTCGGCCCAATGGGGCCTTGTGCAATTAAAAATGTTGGGGCCTTGTATCTAATAGTGCAATTAAAATAAGTCAAAAATAAGAAAAAATATGCTTTGTATATACTCCCTCCGTCCTATTTTATAACGTCTGTTTCGGTTTACGATGTTTAACTGCAATTATTTTCAAATCATTTTATATGACAAATAGTAAATAATTAAAAAATAAAAATTACATATTAAAATAGTACATCAAAAGATCTACAAAACTAGTAGTGACAATAGTACTTTATTTTATCAAATTGCTAACGAAAATAGAGAAAGAAAGTGAATGAAGTTTGACCCTTTGAATAGTAAACATGCATTATAATTTGGGGCGGAGGGAGTATTAAAACATACTATCATAATAAAAAATATTCATATAAACACATACGGCAAAATTTCATTTTCATAGAATTATTTGCCTAACATATTTAGATGTAAAGTCATGAATCAATTTTTTGGACGTTTTTTATATTGAGACACGAATTTACAATTCAACATCCTATGCATATTCAAATACAGAACAACAACGTCAAGAGCTCAGGCAAACACAAAAAGCAAATCAACAAGAATGTATTTAACTAAGAAAGGATCGACAACTTTATATGAATAAGAAACAAAGAGTGCATCCAAGTAAAATATAATTACATCAAAAGGAATATAAAAATAAAACTATCATCATCCACCGCTGTATACAGGTACATAACATGAGACAGCAGCAAACAACACTGTATAGATAAAAACAAAATAATACTGTATAAAACTGTGTATATATACGAAATGGGCATTGGTTTTGGTTTTTTGCCATTTCCGAAAACCGATGATGAATTAAAAAATGGAACCTCGAAGAAATGTTTTCAGCAGGCTCAACAGATATTGTCACCAGTCAAAGACTACAACACCGAAGCGTAGTAGATAAAAAAAAAAATCTAAAATGGTAACTTGCATGCAGAATTGTTTTTACCTTGTCATTTAACAGCTCGCACGCCAACGGTTTTCACTTTGAACCGATACTGAGGATTACGTTCATCAGATTCTTCATCATCATCCTCTTCTTCTTCACTTGACTCTTCTTCAACCCTGTCCCAGCGAGAGTAGTCAAGACGCGAGTGTCCTTTTGGCTGTGGGATGGCTTGCCATCCTGCACGTTGTCCATCTGGTTTCTCAAGGTTTCGAGCATGAGATGAAACTTCATTTGCGGGAGTGTCTGGCGTTGTTTTTCTAAAATCATCATCCATGTTACATTCACCATCATTATCACTAAGCTCTCCATCTTCATCTTCTTCAAGCTCTGCTTCGGATTCAGGTATTGGAGCAAGCGACTTCCTTAAACAACAGCAAAATGATCTCTTAAAGGTTAGGGGAGCATGATACTATAGATATAGATAGAAGAAATGGAAGAACAGATTTACACGCCGTGTATTTTAACTTCAATATCTATATAGTTAATAATACAACTGAAAACCACTCCTATTTCTCTAGCAAGGAAAATAGCTTCTACCGCAGAACTAGGTTCTAAACGTAACTGGAACACTTTTAATCATGTACTAATGTAGAAATATAATTAGATCTAAACTTGAGTGATTTGATTACAAATAGATCTGCCATTTATAATAGCTACGAGACTATGACCTAATTACGAGCCCAACAAGAATGAGCCCGTTAACAACAAACCCTAATGCATTCCCTAACACTCCCCCTCAAGTTGAGCATGAGGTTAACGAATGCACAACTTGGACAATTAAAACAAAACTAAGACTAAAAACAACTTGATAAATAACTTGAACTTGATCTGCTGTGACAACAACGAACGAAGGTGACCGGCCCTGCAAACGAACAATAAATTTTGATGACGAATGACTCCCACGCGGTGACACGGGGACGACTAACAAGCATCCCAAACTTGGAAGCCATGCTGCCGGACTGAGGCGCGACTATGCGACCAACCTCACAAACATGTCGAACATACAAATGGTTGCACTTGAACATACCAAATAACAACCAAAAACAAAGTCACCAATAACGTCGATCAAAACTGGCTCTGGTTGAAAACCTTCTTCGTGATGTAGGAGCACAGAATAAACAAATTCAAATAATCACTTTGGTAGACTAACAGTGGCATGCCGATCAAAGATAGAATTGAGCAGCAACAATAATTTGGGACTTTGGTGCCGACGGAACCTACCAAAAGCACTGCCGGGGAAGACATCTTCAGTGGCGGCCAAACTTTGACTCTAGTCTAGGCAGATCTGAATTTAATAGCAGAACAAATACTCGAGACAGTTTTTTTTTTTGAAAACCTCGAGACAGATTTTGGTTGAGAGATTAGATATGTCACCGTCGCCGGACAAACCACCGGCGACGGCGACAACGGAAGCAACAGATTAGAGCAGAATAGGGTTTAGGTTCCCAGGTTGGCTCCGATACCATGTAGAAATATAATTAGATCTAAACTTGAGTGATTTGATTACAAATAGATCTGCCATTTATAATAGCTACGAGACTATGACCTAATTACGAGCCCAACAAGAATGAGCCCGTTAACAACAAACCCTAATGCATTCCCTAACAACTAACTTTGTATATGAACATAAATGCTTAAAAATTAGATGTAATTAAAGATTTAATTAACTAAATAATAATGTTTGACAAATTTGTAGATACACGTGAAGAGGAGGAATTGTTTACACATGATTTGAACAAGTTGGGCTTTGTGATGTATAGCAAGAGTTTGAAGACAAAATGGATAAAAAACGTATCACATAAAGATGGTGATGGGGATGGGGATATTAGCCTTAAGCACAAACAGGAAAAGGGTGTGGTCGTATGAGTGGAAAAGGTCATGGACGAGGCCATGGACATGGGCAGAGTGAATGTCATAGACTTTGTGAACAAGAAAAAGAAACCGACACAGTAAAGGAAAAAATACACTTGATAGATGAAGAAGTTGGTTTAGATATTCCGACTTTTCTTGATGATGAGAACCATGGAGGAGCAGTTAGTAGTCATTTTGCCTATTAATATTGTTTGAAATTAATTTATTCAAATTTACACCTCGATTTGAGGCTTACACAATATGCAATCCATCCAAACCGCCTCAACTGTGGAATACAGAATTTTGAAAATTGTTTAGACTTAAACCTTATTGGATACGTAACACCTATAAATAGGTATAATACAAACCTTTCACTTGAAACTCAAAAGTTACGTAGGACCTTTGTGCTAACTTGATGAAAACTCCTATTTATACACTCTTCAGTCTTCATAAAAAATGCAAAGAACATGTGAAATACCCATAATTCTATTCTATAAATTCCAACACTCTACCCGTTTCATATCTTGAAAAGGTGGAGAACTGCATCGATCTCTTTTTCAATAAAAAGTATTTTGTAATCTCTTTTAGAGATATAATAACTCGAATCAGTAACAAGTACGAATTCCATATTTCCATGAAGGGAAAATATGGGAAAATAACATAAGGATGAGATATTACCAGCTGTGTCTTCAAACGAGCATGAAGGTTCTGATATACTTCTGATGATGGATTCAGTTCAATGAGCCTGTTAACATCAAAAAGTGCCGAGTGATACTCCTTGAGAGTGACTAAGGTTTGAGCACGCAACATCAATGCTCCCGTGTGTTTATGATCAAGCTCAAGGACTGAGGTACATTCCTCTGCAGCCTGCAGTAAAATGGATTAATTTGTCAAATGCTGATTGGTTTCGAAAAAACATTGACTTTGGTTGCAAACATAAAATAAATGAATGTCCAGCCATTTAAGTTAGTATCAATCTATCATACTCTTTTTTATCTACTATTAGCAGAGGCATTTGGCAAACCAAATCTCTACTGGATTATATAAAAGGTCACCCACATCTTATGTCATACAAAATAGAATAATGAGCACACTAAATGTTATGATTGATTTGTGTCACATTCAAAGTGCATCTTGTTATCTTGTACTTCTGCAAAACTTGTTAACAAAAGCATGTGAAATGTATTCTATAAATATGACAATATGTACTCCTACAACAAGCCCAAATTTTTACCAATTTTCCACATAAGCTTGAACAAGGTATCAAAGATCCCAGTTCGAGTTTTATGTCGTACCCGTCATCAATATATACATCAATTTTTCAGCATATATGGGTTGTAAAAAATATCATCACACATGTGATGAAGCAGATGAAAAGTAAACTCAAAGTCATCAATGTGCACTCTTATTAACAGCTTAAACATTTAGACAATTTAGTTGCTAATTGGAAGTTTGGAACACCTGCTTTGGATTCCAAACATTGAAACTCCAAAACTAATTGCATATAAGCTAGGCAGTTCATATCTTCATTCTCCAAAAAGAGTAATAATTGATGGACTAATTCCAGACATCCCAAAAATTAAAAAAAATATAATCAACCAAATCCGGGCATAAGTACTAGGCATAAAGAGAGCAATCACCTTGTTGAAAAGGAGAAGTTTCAGGAAACAAGCGGCTCGATTACTGTGGAGGGCGATCTTCTGGGGTTTGGTCTTGGCCAGAGAAAGCGCATCTGTATAAAACTCCAGCGCTTCCTCGTACTTCCCCTCTCTGTACATCTGGTGAGCTCTCTCGATTCTATTCATTGAATTGCCAGTTGATGCCGATGACGCCATATTTACCCACAAGCTTCCATCCTTCGGCCCGATCTACACGAAACAAAACAAAAAGATATATAAAACCCTTTTGAATTCATAGAGAACTTGATTTGCATAAACACGACTGGTTTATCTAAGACCTGGAATTAGCTCAATCAGGTACTCCAAGTTCAAATTTTTCTCACTCAAAATCAAATTTTATCACACTTTTGATTTCATTTTTAAATACTCCCTATATATATATTTTGAATTTTGAAACGGGGATGGTAAGTCAAGAGCATAGAAAGTTGGGAAAGATATGTTGTTAATAAGATGTGTACCCCATTTGTCCGTCACCCCCTTCTCCACCATTCATTTTTATCTACTTTTTATTTATTTAATTTTTTTTTAAAATTTTTGCTCATTTTTGTGGTAATGGAGGGGGTGGGGGACAAATGGGGTACACCAAAGGTGTACCCCTAGCATTTTTCTGTTAATAAATGTGAATTGCCAAATGTCCTAAGATATTTTTCTCGGTTCTTATTTGGTCGAATTTTAATTACTTTCTTCACTTATTTTTTATTAGTTGTTTGGTAAAATAATATGGTCTTATCACATTTTATTTTATAGCACTTTTGATATAATTTTTAAATATATAAATTTTGTTTTTAATTTTACACCTACAATTAAATGAAATAAACTGAAAATAAAATTGGTCAAATCTCGTAAACAGAAATAATAAAAAAGTTTTAAGACGGGAAAGTATTAGTTTACCATTTTTCATTTCAAAGAGAAAATGTAAGTCACGACTCTTGAAAATTAATACCCTTCCGTCCTTAAGTCACAACATGTTGTAGACAAATCTACAATTTCTGTTCATGAAGTACATAAAATTTTAGAGTGAGTTTCCAAAAAAAATCTTTCCAATAAAGTATTTTCTTAAAAAATTACTAAAAATTTCAGAAAGAAAATAAAGATCATAACCAAACTCTAACCTAACCTGATCGGTCGATTTTCCAGCTCTAAAAGGAATGTAGATTTTTTTATGACTCGTGTCTCTAGATTTAATTTTCCCAACTATAAGTTGCCGTCGAGTGGGGATGGTGGTGTGAGATGAACATGGTCAATTCATTCATGGTGCGTCTCGTGGATTAAGGAGAATAGATATCTCGTTATCTCGTTACTGGGAGAGTGATGGGAGTGAGGGAGGCGTTGAAACGGCTCATGAGCTTGGTTGGATAATAAGGAACTACTTTGGAGATGGACAGTTTATTTGATGGTCTATATCAAGCCCTACAAGATACTACCTCCGTCCCATTGTCTTTGTCCAGTTTTGACTTTTAGAACTGTTCATCTAAGCACTTTGACTCATCAAATTCTCTCAATGTGTAAGCCTAAAAATAGTCATGTGTGATCTTGTTTGATTCGTCTTAACATATAGATTATTAATATATAATTTTTATAATTTTTTAATATACAAATTACAAGATAAAATGAATTAAAGAAGTGCATTCGATGGTATGTCAAAAGGTTAGTGGACAAAGACAATGGGACGGAGGGAGTACTAAACATAATTTCTCTTATTTTATTGGCTTAATTTATGATCGTATGAAGATGAGACATGATTTTTCTCATCTTTAATTTCATGGCCGGTGTGTAGAAGATGAGCAAATCAAGTTGTTTACGGGTATTTGTTAACTATGGGCTATGGCAACTGATTCTAATATTCTATGGAGTAGGCGTCTATCCCTTCTAAATGCATTTGTAACACTTTGCCTTTGGATGCTTTGAATTATTCCTATCACATTGCCTGGCAATGTCATGGGATGACTCGGAGCCGCTCCTATGTCCTGTTCGTAAAATTGACGGTTCCTACACCTAAATCTACTAGTAAATCCCCCTACCCCGCCCCGACCCGAACATACTCCCCCACAAATTTTGACTCCAAAATTTGGGGGGTAGGAACCGTCAATTTTACGAACGGGGTATCGGAGCGGCTCCGGGTCATCCTATGACATTGCCGGGCAATGTCATGAGAACCTTGCCCTTGAATTAATGCAGAAATTACTTTAAAAAAATATTGCCTTCGAGTACTAAGGGTCCGTTTGGTATATGGAATTGGCGGAATTGGAATTGAAATTCCATGAGATTCGATTCCATAGAATTGAATTCTGACAATTTCAATTCATTTATTGCACTATCAATTCAAAATCCACATAATTTTTGTGCTACCAAACACCAAAATTGGAATTGAAATCTTCAATTCCAATTCCATGGTTTGAATTCCATGTACCAAACGGGCTTCTCCCACTATAATCAAGAGTGCCTTTTTAGTGGATTTATGGGCCAATCACATTTTTTGTGGACAATCTCACATAAGATATACTCTCTTCGTTCCAAAAAAACCCAGAGTTTGACATTTTTTTGTTAAAATATGCAATACTTTAATTATTAATTAAAGGGAAATTATCCCAAATAATTCTACCTTTTCACACACTTTCAAAAATAATCTCATTTTTTCACTGTCACTGGAAATAAGTTCACCTTTCCGCATGTTGTGAATTTTGGGTCGCTGTTAAAAAGTTAACGGAACGAAAATTTTGAAAATTGTCTATTTTTTGCAAATAAATGAAAAGCGGGATTATTTTAAGTAAATTCTCTTTTTTTCATTTTAAATGTTTAACTTTAAATTTTAATGTATTTTTAAAAAATAATTTTATTAATTATTCCAAATTTAAGTTTTTTAGAGTAAAACTAATTAATTTTTTCAATAATCGATAGTCTGGTAATAATTGAACAAAAAATTATTCTACACAGTGGAGCTAATTTATTTACTTTATAACTCATTACAATTATTTTTCTTGAGCAGCAATTCAAATTGTTTTTGAAACTAAACTATTATTATCATTATTATTATTAAAATGGCACTACAAAAATTTTGAAAATGGCACGGTATTTATTTCTCCAAAATGGCATGAATTAATTTTTTGACTTACTGCAATTTTTTGTATTGCAATTTATTTCTGAAGTGACACTCTGAATTATTTTTCGATAATCCAATATTATATATCCATTACAACAGAAAACAAAATTTGTAAATTATTATATTGAAAACAAATTGATAAATCTGTAGCAAGAGTGTACTGTTATATTTTCTTTGAGAATATAAATTTTAAATACAAAATTAAAAAAAGTAAATTTTCCTAAAATAATCACACATTTCATTTATTTACGAAAAAAGGCATTTTCCAAAAATTTCGGCGAGTGGCTGTTAGCTTTTTAACGGTGGCTTAGAACTCGCACACATGAAGAAAAGTGAATTACTTCCGGTGATAGTGAAAAGTGAGATTATTTTTTTTAAAACGTAAAAAGGTGGGATTATTTAAGATCATTTTCCTAAATTAAATGCATTTTTAAAATAATTAAATAGTCTAAAAAAATTTACTCCCTCAGCCTCACAAACCTTTTTGGTTTTGACTTTTAAATAATTTAAGGAGAATGTAATTTAGCACAAACTTTTCAAAACTACCCTTGAATGTGATAAGTAAAAAGGAGGATGCAATGTATTGATAAATATTGAAAAAGTGTGATAATGTGATAGGTAGGTTAGAAATTAGTAGTGGTAAAAGTAGGATGTAATGAATTGATGGGTAAAAGTATGATGCAATAGATTGATGTCCAGGTAAAAGAATTCTATTGCGTAGTGATAGTAAGTTGGCTCACACGGCTTACTCTGATTCTGATTGGGCTTATTGCCCCATTACCCTAAGATCAGTCGCTGGGTACTTCATCCTTTTGGGTGGGTCATCGATCTCATGGCGGTCGAAGTAACAAACAAATGTGTCTCGTCCGTTGGCTGAAGCTGAATATCAGGCTATGACAAATGCTTGTGCTGATTAATGATGGATCCGAGGTTTGTTGGTTACTATGCTTGTGCCACCACTCACACTTTGTACTGTGATAACAAATCAACTTTAGTTATTGTTGCTAATCTAATGTTCCATGAGCGGTCCAAACGCATAGATATTGAGTGTCATATTGTTCGTGAATGTCTACTACGCAAGCAGGTTGTCATGGCATACGTTCTTACTCGTGTTCAAATTGCCGATATCTTCGATCACAAAGGCACTCCCTGATCCTCTTTTCTAGTTTATGCTATCTAAGATGGGCATCGATGACCTTTATGCTCCAACTTAATGAAAATCAAGTCATTGAGTCGATTCATCTCTATTTTCTTTTCCTCCACTTGTTTTCTTTGTCAAACACAGGCTAGGCATGGTAAGTCTTTGAGAGGATGACGACGCTGATGCAGTTACACTTGAATGCAATGATGATACCAAACAAAAAAGCTGATACATTTCCATATCAGCAAACCCATTTTCCTTTTATTTCTCTCTTTTTTCTAAAATACTTTTTCAACTCAAACATTAATTTTCCTTGGGATTTCAAATGGAACTCATGTTTGAGATTTGTCTCTATTGTGACCCTCATCAATGCTGTATGGGGTCCACCCACCTAACCTGGAGTACGTGTTGATCGAAGAAAAAAAGGATGAACGACTTCCTCGTATCCGATCGAACGGTCACTGAGATGAATTAAATTGAACTTTATTCGTAGATTTGTGCTATAGAGTTGAGCTTGCATCTGGTAAATAAAGAGGCTTTATCTCAATGTAGTTGTCATGAATCGAACTCGGGTCTACCCCTTGACACTCCCAATATTCACCAACTGTACAACGCCCACTGACAGTACGTGTTGGTTGAAGATGTTGTTCTGACTCTGGCTCAATCGGGAGTACTAAAATTAATACTCCTCCCGTCCTAAAATTAACTTCTCATTTGATTATTCACAGTCTCCAATTACGGCACTTTGACAATCAATATATTCATTTTTATATAAATATATATTTAAAAAATATATTTCAAAACAAGGTTTCAAAATAAATCTATTGATATTAAATTAAAATAAAAATTCAATATTTTTTTCCGTAATATACGGTCAAAGTTTAAAAAAATTGATTGGGAAGTTAATTTTAGAACGAAAAGAAGTATTACACTCTCTGTACATGACCAATCTGCTAACCTGCTAACTTTTCTTATTTGTTAGTCCATAAATTATTCTTTCTTTTTTTTGGTAAATCTTTTTTTATATAAACTACATTACCACCCTCACATTTTCCCACTAATTGTATCCATATCTTCACTTTTTGCAATAACGCAATCAAAAAATTTTATTTTTCCCTTAATTTGCGTATGTGTAAAGTCGAAGTAGAAAGATAATA